CCCTTTCCAAAGAAGTATTCAGGTATTTGTCTTCAATCTCATTAATTCTGTCTTCCATTGCATCAATTCTACTCCTTTGCCCTTTCAATGTGTTATCTGTTTCTGACAATTTAGTATTAATCTCCTGGATTTTTATCTGTAAATTTAGAATAATTTCTAATTTTTCATTGATATTGTCATTTTGTTCTTGTATTTTCTTCCAAAATTCTTCTAGGGTTTTTTTCTGTGTTTTCCTTGGTCTGTCTCTCAATCCTTTGCGATACCTAAATATAATTCTTTTGAATTCCTTATCAGGAAGTTTCAATGCTGTGTCTTCCTCAGGCATGTGTTTTGGGTCTGTATCCTGGTCCTTTGTTTCTCCTGCTTTATCTTCTTTGTGGGGACTGTGGTGTTCTCTTGTCTCTGAGGCATTGTGACATTTTTGTGTTATATACTCCTTGGAAGGAAGATGGGGCAATCTACTTCTGTAGTGATACTGCCTCAGAAACCCAAGGAGGGATCGCTATGAGTCAGGTCCAACTCGATGGCAAAGAACAACAACAACATGTTGGAGTGACTTGACCACAGTTTTCATTTTCTTTGTTTTGTTTGTATGTTATTTATACAGGCAAGGTATAGTGCTGTGATCCTCTATTCACTAGTTGACAGTACTTATACACTCACCACCTGTCTCCTTTCCTTTGTCAGCCTCTCATATGTCCTTGCCAACCCTGGCAAACAGAGCCTGTTCTTAGGTTCCTGGAATCTGAATGAGAATGCTTTCACTTTAAAATTCAAAATGGTTGCTGCTTGTAAACATTCAACATGGCTGCATCCTCCGGACAGCAGAAAGTCCACAGCTCAGGTTGTCTCCCTCCTTGCTGTTTCCCTTCCTAGTCATAGGCCACCAGAACAGTTGTCCCTTCAGCCCTGGGTGACTGGGACTGATCTTTAGGTCAATTCTCAGGTCCCAACACCACTTGGAAATATTCAGGCTGTTGGTCTAGTCAGAGTAGCTGACAGTTTGCACCTCCAGATCATCTCTGTACTCACTGTTTTCATTCAGGTTTTTTCCACTAGTTGGTGCCTAATCCACTTCTGTATAGTTCCTTTCAAAGCTCATGGTTCCAGGATTATTTTCTGTGTCTCTGTCAATTGTTTTTTCTTTTCTTTGTTGAAGAGGGTCTGTGTCACTTGTCTGCCTATTCCTCCATCTTACTGGAAGTGATTATGGAGTTCATTAAGGAAGTTGTTCTTGTTGTTGTTGCTGTTGTTGTTATGTCCTGTCAAGTCAGACCCGACTCATAGCATCCCTTCCTTGGGTTTCTGAGGCAGTATCTCTCTGTGATTCTATGTCTTATACCTTTTTTGTGATAATTTTGTGGATGGTAGGGCATAAATCTACCTCAGGGAATAAAATTGCCTAGTTTTTGACAGCCAAGGACTGAAATTCCACTCCATAATGCCACTCGATGAAGCAAAGTGTCCACTCTAAATAATGAGTTCAGAGTTTGAAATAAGAAAAATGAAGCATTCAAACTGTCTATAATATATTCAACATTCACCAAAGATTTGAAAGATGATTTTACTGAGAGGATTGTTAAATTTCAGCCTTAAGCTTTCTTCAGCCAGTGTTAGTCACCATTTTATTACTCCACCAGCACAGAGAGTTTTTTTCTCTTGTCTTTCATCAGGTCTTGACTATATTTCCCTCTTCCTTCTGTGGCTGGGGTCATTGTGTTGGTGGAGCCATTGGACATGTTTATATGGAGTAAGAAGGAGCCCTGGTGATGCAACCTGTTAAGTGCTTGGTTGCTAACTGAAAGACTGGCAGTTTGAGCCTACCCAGTAACTTCACAGGAGAAAGCCCTGGTGATCTGCTTTTATAAAGATTACAATTAAGAAAAGCCTATGAAGCAGTTCTACACTGTCACATGGGGTCATCATGAGTTGAAATTGACAATGGCACTTAACAATAGCAACAACATGTTGAATAAGACAGCTTTATAGTGATGGCTCAATATCTGCCCCATAATTAACCTGTCAGTGGGTTGCTCACAAAAGTGTTTCCTCAGAACCTCCTTGTATGAATCATAGTTTATGAACTGAAATTATCATTGCTTCTGCATGAGAATCATTGTGCATTAATTTTATTATCATACTGTGTTTATTGGGTGACTGTTTTCTGCATCTGTATCCCTAGATTGTTGTAACCAGGAAGTTTGAAGCACATTCATTGCTTCTCCAAAAACAAATATCTTCTTATTAGGAGAAAATCAGGATTAATTTTTAAAGTGCTCTAATATAACATAATATATGGAAAAAAAAAATCAGAGAATGCTAGATCCAGAAAAGGTCTTAAAGAGTATTATATAATGAGCATTTTCAAAACACAGAGAGAATGTGGAAATACTGAACTAGAATAACACAAATAGAACACAAATTCTGGAAATAAGCCTCTTTGGAATTTTTTTGGGAAGTCACAACCTTTCTAGCTTTTATAAACAAATATTAAGCTTAGTAGTCTCTCTTCAGTGGCGACTGAAGGAATATTATATTCACATTTTCTGATATTTTCAACTACAGTGCCAGAAATCCACACTGATAAAAAAGACAGGATAAACAAAAATGATCCACAGATACAGAGAGCAAAAGTCAAAAATAAACATAATGTAGTTGGATACCATTTCATATTTTTTTCCCATGTAAACTAGGTTGGACTGTTCTTGAAATGATCATATTAAGTAGCTTTTGAACATCTTATCTCACAGATCCCATCTTCTGCTCACAGGCAACAGGCAATTCTTGTTTGGTTTGTACTGGCTATTGCATTTTGCGATGCTTTTGTTAAAACCTCATGAAAGATCTTTTAGTTACTTATTTTTTCATGAATTTGAAGTCAAAAAAATTTATCTAGTTTTAGGAAATATTGACTCAGCTTTATTCTTTCCTAGGATCTTTTACTTTTTACAAATACATCACTTAGCAGATACAGATACCAAGTAATTTGATAATATACTTACTTTGGCTTATTGATTCTTATTAATATGTTCTATATTTCTAACAACACCTTTCAGACCTTCTATGACTATAAATCTGTCATGTGAAGTTTTAAGATTAAGAAGGAGGAAAATATTAAATAGTATTATTTGTCTTTTTAAGGATTTTTGCAAGGAATATGAGAATCAAGTGAGAAGTGGGAGACTTTACTGTACACGTGAGAGTGACCCAGTCCGTGGCCCTGATGGCAGGATGCATGGCAACAAATGTGCCCTGTGTGCAGAGTTTTTGTGAGTATAGATACAGTTTCTTTAGTGGAAATAGAGACTGATTGGAATTACAAGTGAAAATAATTTTGGGGGAAGTTTTGGTTGTTGAGAACCATTTGAAGAGTTTTATGCCCTCCACAAATCATAATATATTCAAGTAAATAGGCACTAATGTGTGTTTCTATTCCCAAATATACGTGTCTATAACCATGTACAAATAGATTTCACATTCCAGTTGGAACACTGGCTTACAAAACACTTCTTAAACATTTTACGACATGGCCTTTGTAAATCTCTTTATGAGTTAGCCATGATACAGGATGAGGATAAAAAGATACCATGAGAATTTTTGTTCTGTTTTCTTTAGTAATTAACCCAGTTATGATAGAGTTAATGGAACTTGCTGAAGAAATTCATGTTCATACATTTATGGAAAACCTAAGGCATTTGATATTGGGAAAAGGGCAAATGCATGTATACATATAATGGCCTTTATGAAGATGGTTTAAATAAGATCTTACCACATTTATTCTCTTTCATATCTTTGAACTTTATAAGCTCTTTTCTACATACTGCTCCCTCTGCCAGTTCTTCTCAGTATTGGCTGGTTAATCTTCTTGTAGATTTCATCTTACAGTCTTCTTTCATTGGGGGGTGTTGTTAGCTGTCATTGAGTTGAGGTTCTAACTCATAGTGACTCTACATACAACAGAATGAAGAATTGCCTACTCCTGTACCATCCTCACAATCTTTTCTATGTTTGAGTCCATTGTTGCAGGCACTGTGTCAATCCATTTCATTGAAGATCTTCGTCTTTCTCTCTGACCTTCTACTTTACTAAGCATTAAGTCCTTCTCCAGATATTGGTCCCTCTTGATGACACACCCAAAGTATATGAGATAATGTTTCACCATCTTCACTTCCAAGGAGCATTCTAGCTATAGTATATGGAATAGTCAATATTCTTTGCCAGTGCCATAATTCAAAGTCATCAATTTTTTTTTTCATTCTTCTTTATTCACTGTCCAGCTTTTATATGCATATGAAGTGATTAAAAATACCATGGCTTGAGTCAGGTGCACCTTATTCCTCAAAGTGATATCTTAGCTTTTCAACACTTTAGTCATTTGTAGAAATTTCTTCCTTGGACGAGACCTTCTAAAGTTCTCAATATCAATCCAATCTTTATACCTTTAACTTTCTTTCATAGAAATCATCATAGTTTTCAATTAATTAATTATTTCTGTAATTATGTGTTGTTTATTATTTTCCTTTACTAGGTTATAAGTTCCAAGAGGACAGGGTATATATTTGCATTGTGTAACCACTATGTGCCTAGGGCCCAGACCAATGCTTGGCCAAAAAAGAAAAGAAAAGAAAGAAAAAAGTCATAAGCTAACTGTTAAATGAATGAGTAAATGAGTGAATGTCTGAATAAAAATCCTTGTTCTGAGAAAACTAAATGCTAATAGCAGAATTAAGCCATGGACACACATATCTATATTCCAAGGCAGAATGGCAACAATTTTATAAGAAAAAAGAAATTCAGGTATGAAATAAAATAGAAGATGTAGAGTTTATTTCCATTTGGAGAGATTTGGGGGAAGGAGAAAAATATGAAAGATCATCACAGTGTAAGGAAATGATATACATGATATAAAAAATAAAGTAGGGGTCTTTGAGGAACTAGTAAAGTGTTTAATAAAAGTTGCATGAAAGGAAGTTGAAGGTGATTTGACATTGCTTTCCTAGAACAGGAAAGCTTAGCTGTTTTTCCTCTGCTCCTAAATGATTATAACATGAAGTTTTGAAGCATCTTTACTCATTTATTTATTTTTTTTCTCTCCCCAGCAAGCGACGTTTTTCAGAAGAAAAAAATAAAGCAGAAGAGAACTTGAGAAAGGCTAAAGAAAAAGCTAAGGTTAAAAGAGAAATTGAGGTGAGAATTAGTTTGATCAATCTTGTTAGGACTTCTGTGCATGCTTTGTCTCTGTACATGAGTACTTATAACTTTAGAATGCATTCAATCTTGCCAAAATGTTTACCACTATTAATGGGTTTTCTAGAAACTAATTTAAATACATTGTTTTCTGAGACTTTGAAGAATGATTATAGCATCACTGTTCCTAGTACTATTTGGAAATAATTATTCAAATTGCACATTAGGGGTTCCACACTACTAAACAAAGGTGATATCTCAAAACAATATTTGAATTCAAAGTACAATATGTACTCATTGCCACCTGTATAGTAGTTACTTTGGAGGTTTAATTGTAAAAGCAGTATCTGTGTAAAATTGTAGTATGTTGCCTTTAAAATCATGCTACATTCTGGTTTCTAAATATCTCTTAACTACTCATTTCAGTTTTCAGTACACATCTTACCTCACATTCTTAATAGTTATATGTTGTATTACTGCATTAGCATTCTACTTAGTCTTCATCTATATCAATTCTTAAGACTCAATTCATCTTCCCTATTGTTTTTATAAAGTAGGAGATATTTCCATGAGCCCATTGCATTATGAAATTCTTATGTTTGAAGATATCCTAGAGTATATTTGAATGATTTTACTCCATGGAAACTCTATTTATCTTCTTTCATCCAGGTGATTATCCACCCCTCCAAGATGTGTAACTCTTAGTTTTATAATTTAATCTACTTCATCAAGTCTTCTGCTTTTATTTGACTTTGTCTTATTGCCTAGACCTTGTTTTCAATTATTTTACATCCTCAACCATAGGTTGCAGCAACAACAACAACAAAAAAAAACACTGCCATCAAGTAAATTCCAACTCATAGTGACCCCCATTGGGTTTCTAAGGCGGTAAATCTTTATGGAAATAGATTGCCTCTTCTTCCTTCTGTGGAGCAGCTGGTGGGTTTTAAGCACTGACCTTCTGGTTAGTGACCAAATGTCTTACCCATTATGCCACCAGAGCTCCTTAGGTCCCCTAGTCCTTTTAACTTTACCTTTCAAGTGTCTCTCACTTCTTTTCTTTCTCATTTTTTAAATTTAATTATTTATTATATTTTAAAACATAACTAGTTTCTCTACAGTTTTTATTTACTCAAATCTTCCACATATATTACAGGGCAATGTCTCTAAAACAAAGATTTGCTTATATCCTTCTCTGCAGGAAATGTTTATTAATTTCCCATGGCCCAAGAATAAAATCCAAATTCCTTAAAATAAATAAATAAATAAGTAGAAAAAACCTTTGATACACTGGATTTGACTGATCTTCAAGATCTCCTTTTTGACCACTTCTTAAACCTTCCTCTCTGTCCACCTAATTCTGAAGCCACTAACTCATGGATAGATCAGAACATCTCAAGATAAGCATGGCATCTCAAAAAGTTCATTCATGTCTCTGTACCTGTCCATATCATAATTCTTCTTGGAGGACCTTTTTACACATTTTATATCTGGACCCATCTTCAAAGGTACAACTCAGGCATAGCTCTTTGAACTTTCGGTGAGTCAATCATTCCATTGCACTCATTCATTCTTAATTCAGACCTGTACCACATCCCTTAACTTCTTGCATTTCAATTTCTTGTCCTCTTCACTTGATTGGTAAAGGAGCCAAATTATATTTATATTTTTATTCTCTTAATATAGTACATTTATTGATTACTTAAATGCATCACAATTACAAGAAGAGAAATATCACGATTTTCTTGGATGATCCTAAGATCTAAAAGGTTTTCTTTAAAGTCCTTAATTCTTCTTTCTCAATTTCTTTAAGAAAGGGTATTAAAAAATTTTAAATACAGAGTAGAGAATTATACTTAAACTGCCTCATTTTCATTATTTAGAAACTCTGCCATGAATATCAAGATCAGGCAAAGAGTGGAATACTTTTCTGTACCAGAGAAAATGATCCTATTCGTGGTCCAGATGGGAAAATGCACGGCAATTTATGTTCCATGTGCCAAGACTTCTAGTGAGTATAGCAAGTCACAGAATTCTAGAACTTTAAAGGGATAAGGGCATTTTGATAAAACCTAATACAGCCAGCTTGTTTTATGGATGAGGAAGCTGCAGTCAAGAAAAAAAAAAAAAGGAAAAGAGTTGAGTAAGTTCTTAACAACACCTTAGTGAAAGAATTGGATGAAGTACCAAGAGTTAATTATTTCCTCTAAGATACCTGTTTTTTCACAGCACGCTTTCTCTAGGACTGGAACATGATTAGCCTTTAGAACAAACATGAGTTTTTGCAAATATGTGATGCTTCCTCACTGCTGAAACTTGATATGAGAACCTGTTTAAGGAATTTATAGGCATCTAATCTTCCATGGAGTTTAGGTCCCAAGGTTGTCAATTAACACAGAATCCAATTAGAGTCATAATTTTCCATGAAACTCTCATAAATCTCTTCAAAATTACAGGAAAAAAAATGTTCAGTAAATTAGAACTGACTATTTGTTTTCACAACTTAGAAGAACTCTCAATTTATTTGGTTTTTCAATTTGTGTTTAGAATCCATGGCTTATTGTTTTGTTTAACAACCACAAGGTTGAAAACATTTAGTTAACTGTGCATACAATGCAATCCTATTCTACAAAGTATTTGAACTAGCAACTAACAGTAATGATTGGTTTTTTCAGCACCAATTACATTTTGTCCTTTTAGCTAACGCAGGCATAAATAAGCAAATCATTTAAGTTAAATAAATAAAAACAAGGGGTGGAGTGTTTACTTTTCATTGATGGTGTCATGATGAAAGGGCAAAGTTACTCTTCCCTAAGAAGGGAAGGCCTAGTGGCAGCATGAGTGTTAAGTGTCGATCCCTCTTGTTTTCTCTCATTCAGCCAAGCAGAAGCTGAAGAAAGGAAAAAAGCAGAAGCAGAAGCAAGAAATAAACGAGACTCTGAAAAGGCACCTTCATATGCAGTGCGTGGAATCCATCCAATTAGCCTACTTGGCACTAAAATTTGAACAAACCTCAGAATGCCTAATGACTGGAACATTGTCCTGCAAAAATTCGAAGAAAATCTTAATTTTTCAATCTAGGGATGATGTCGAGATGAATGCCATGGGAGACTGGCTAGCTTTTGCTACTTCAGAACAAATACTATATAACAAAAGGATATTCATTTGGAATCTGAAAAATTAAGTTCTAGTTCCAGTTCCATCATTTACAGACTCTTCATTTGAGCTAGTTATTAAACTCTTCGCATTCTAGGTTTCTAATGAATTGGGTAAATAATCCTTGTCTTTCCTATGCCAAGGATTATTGGGAAGAACTAAGAGACAAATAAAGAGAATCCATGTTATAAACTGTAAAACATGATGCCAATATAAAATTTTACCACTACCCAGAATGGGGGAAATGTCTCCAAATACCCCAAGTAATGATAAACATAGACTCCTGTTACAATTCTGGAAGCCTGCCTAGATAAAAAGGTAAATTTCAGGACTCTGAAAGATTCATACCAGTTAAGGAAAGTATTCAAGGAGTCCTTACTGTACATTTATAATAAATAGTTGAGAAGTACCAGCATCACCACAGTATCCTGAGAAGCCTGGAATCAGGCCCAGCCCAAACTGGTTCTTTGAGTTCTCTGAAACAGAATGATATATACAGAGTATCCAATGCCCAGGGAGGACATTAGAGCAACAATATTCAGAATACCTAAAATTGCAGCATGATTACCTCAACGTTGCCCAGGTCACGTGAAACAGATTTGTGATGCTTTTACTTTAGGAAAGAACACCATAAATACTATCATCAACAAGGAGTAGCTATTAGATTTCATTAATCACTTTCCAGAGAAATTCTACATGTATGTTTCAAACAAATGCATATATTTTTTTTAAATTTCACATATAAATTGGATAAAAATACTTTGCATCCAAAACAAAAGCATGATTTTACTTCTTAAATATTACAATATTAATTTCTGTAGACTTTGATGTCTATGGACTCACTTACAGTTCAGATAATGAAAGTCTCCTAAATTTCTCTCTGGATTTTACCTTTCTGTTTTCTAACTATCATCCTGAATATAGCTATAATAATATTTTTTAAATATTAAAGCATAATACTACTCTACTTAAACTCTACAAAGATCATCAACTACAGGATGAATGTCAATCTCTTTCTCATCTTATTTGGCTCTTTATTTCCATTTAGAATTTTGTGTTCTCTATGTCTCTTGTTGTTTCCTACCTTTGTTACTCAGCTTAATTTATTTTGAAAATCTACTTTCCTTATTTCCAAATCTATTTCTCACCCAGGAAAGTCTTATTTATACTTATAATCTTACACAAATAATTCTTGCTCCCTAAAATCTTCCTTGGTTTCCACAATCAAGTATTGTCTTCTCAGTCTCTGAGTTCTCAGATTTTCTTGTATCTACATGTTTTTACCTATAATAATCTGTCTAGATTACAGTAGAGTTAGTTTCTTTACTCTCCTATTATATTGTGACATCTTATTTAGTCTTATATATTTTTATGGCTTCGTGAATGCTAAGTTTTGTTTGCTGAATTGAAGTTTACATGAGAGAGAAACACAACCAAAATCTTGGGATCCAGGAGGCTTAACATTAGTCTTGCCAATGATGTTGTTAGGTATCATCAAGTCAGTTCCAACTCATAGAACCCTATTTACAAAGAATGAAACATTGCTTGCTCCTGTGCCATCCTCACTATCATTGCTATGTTCAAGCCCATTGTTGCAGCCAATGTGTCAAATCATCTTGTTGAGGGTCTTCCTCTTTTTGCTGATCCTCTACTTTACCAAGAAGGGCATCCTTCTCCAGGGACAGGTTCATCATGATAACTTGTCCAAAAGACGTAAGACAAATTCTCACCATCCTCTCTTCTGAGAAGCATTCTGGCTATAACTCACTGCTGTCAAGTCAGATTTGACTCATAGCGACCCCTTCTTGGGTTTCTGAAACTATCACTATGGAAGTGGAATGTCCAATCTTCCTTCTGAGGAGTGGGTGGTGGGTTTGAACCACCAGATGTCTGATTATTAGTCAAATGCCTTAGGCACTATGCCACCAGAGTTCCATTCTGGCTAATAAGTCTTCCAAAACAGATGTATACATTCTTCTAGCAGCTCATGGAATA